CAAACACTTTCCTCACGTCCTTGAAGGACGCGTTTTGTAATCCTGACGGACCACTAGCCTTTGGTCTACGCTTTTCGTGCCGCTTCCGACCGCTATTCTTCGAGAGAGACACGACAACTGGATTACCTGTCACAATTCTATGTAGATATTCGCTACCACCTCGGTCCAAATAGTGTTGGCGCTGATGTACTTTCACGTGCTCACATAAATCAACTGTCGTCCTCACCAATAGATCTTGAGGAAATGTCCGTTGCACAGAAAAAGGGACCTTGAACTCCCTCAGCTTCCATCGAATATCACATTGCAAATTCTCGCAACGAGACTGGACCTTAACGTGGTGCGACGGTTTGCGTACCTCATTGACCCATTGAGCTATACTGGGTGATGCCTCCGAGCATCTTGAGAGCTACTCCTACCAGGTTGGTCAATGGTGAGAGGTCAGACAAACTCAGTCTCCTGGTCCTCCAGGTTGGGGGTTTGAAATGGGATGGCGTCCATTTCTGTAAAATTAAATCACTGCCACCCCGCTGCCTTGCGGACAGGCTTTTGAGCCAAAGGCTTTGGATGAGGACCCTAATCGTTCTCCTGTCTAGGTCTGGGCGCCCTGGTAGTATCTCAGCCCACATACAACCACGACATTTTCTTCAAACATAAACTTCATCCTGCATCGGCCGTCGCGCAGATTATCAAGGGTCGCCTTATCTGCTTATGGTGTATAGAGAGATAGAGATTCCGAAAGATACCGAGTCACTTCGGAAGCCCTTTAACGAATTTTAGGGGTATATATATATATATATATATATATATATATACATGAGAAGTCAGTTTCGCAAACTTCGACGGCGACTGACCCGAGAGCTCCGTCGCATTAAAAATGCATGGTGGACGGAGAAGGCGAAGCAGATGGAATGATACACCGAACGCCGCCAACAAAAGGAATTCCTTGACTCCTTGAAGGCGGTGTATGGACCGAGATTGGAGCCGCTGAGGACACTGATCGATGGTAGTTAAGGCGCTACCTGCATACACACTGCAGACTTAATGCAGATCTCGCGAAAACACATCGACTGTCTCTTGAACAACCGTTCAGAGATCGATTGGCCTACATTGAACGGCCTCAAGCAGCGCGGTGTGAAGACGAGTCTGGCGGACACGCCGAGACTGGATGAGACGCAGAGAGCACTTGCTCAGCTGCGAAACGGCAAATGTGCCGGGGCCGACGGGATCCCGCCTGAAGTATTGAAACATGGCAGACCTGCGTTGTTGACTGCGCTGCACCACTTGGTGCAACGCGTATGGATTGAGGAGGAGTTCCTCCTGAGCTTCAAGATGCCCTTGTGATACCGCTGTACAAGGGCAAAGGGAGCAAGCAAGGTTGCACGAATTATCGTGGCATCAACTTGCTGAGTTGTGTGGGCAAGGTGATTGCCCGAATCCTGCTCAACCGCCTCGTCAGTAAGGTTGTGGAACCTAACGTGGTGGACGAGCAATGCGGATTCCGTTCGGGTCGCAGCACTATAGATATGGTGTTTGCGGCTCGACAGTTGCAGGAGAAGTGCAGAGAACGACACCAGCCACTGTACTTGCTTTTTGTTGATTTCAACAAGGCATTTGATACCGTGAACCACGAGGCATTGTGGCTGGTTTTGGGTAAGTTTGGTTGCCCACATAAGTTTGTAAGTTTAATTGAACGTCTACAGAGTGGTATGCGAGTGAGGGTGCAGCTGAGTGGAGAGACCTCCAATGATTTTGCAGTTGTCTCTAGTGTGAAGCAAGGCTGTGTCTTAGCTCCTGTCCTGTTTAATACATATCTTCATGCAATGTTGTCCTGTGCTTCTGATGCCGCTTGTGCTTACGGTGTTCGTGTGGAGCACCGTATTGATGGTGGGTCGCTGAACATCGGTCGTTTCGGCGCGAGAACCCTAGTCTGTGAGACACCTATCCGTATGTTGCTGTTTGCTTACCACTGTGCGTTGTTTTCACAAAGCGCGGATGAGTTGCAGTACATGACTGGTGCTCTGATTTCGAAAGTTGCCGAATTCGGGCTCACCATCAATACAAGCACAACTGTCTGTCTCTTTCAGCCTTCACCGGAGGTGCATTCTACAATATTGCCGCGAATCAGCATTGGTGCTGAAGTATTAGAAACCACCTCCAGCTTCTGCTACCTTGGGAGTGTGATGTCGACTGATCAGCAGATACACAGTGAGCTGCGTATCCGCGTGTCGAAGGCGGCAGCGGCATTCGGGAATATTGAATACCGAGTGTGGAACAACCATCAGCTTACCGTTGGCACGAAACTGATGGTGTACAAATCTATGGTGCTGTCCATTATTCAATACGGCAGTGAAACGTGGACGATTTACCGTCGGGATATGCGATATCTCGAGCGGTCCCATCAGCAGCGTCTGCGACGAATTCTGCGGATCGGCTGGGGCGCCAGAGTTGCAGACACGGAAGTGTTGCGCCGAAGTGGGATGTATGCAGTGGACTGCATACTTTTATTGAGACACCTGAGGTGGATCGGTATGTGAGCCGTATGGATTCCACGCGGAGACCGAAGCAGCTATTATATGATCAGCTGAGTATTGGGAAGCGCCATGTGGGGAAACCAAAGTTACGTTACCAGGACATGATTAAAGTGAGCCTCACACGTTCTAATCTTGATTGCAGATCGAGGGAATCGAAGGCCGTTGATCGGCGTGCATGGCGCGATCTGATTACGAAGGTAGTTGCCGAGGTGCAGGAGAAAGCCCTCATGCATGCAGAGAAGAAGCGGCAAGTGCGGAAGCGGCAAGCACCGATGGGTTGTTCTCCATCGACATCGAGCGCATGGTGCTGTAGAACATGCGGTCGCGAGTGCCTTAGTCAGGCAGGCTTAGTGAGTCATGAGCGAGGCCACTCGGGACCACTGCCGAAGCAACGACGGGTACTGCAGAGAACGCAGGCAGAACCGGCGCAGCGTTTGTAGGCACGCTGCATTCGATTTACTAACCGCGTGCTTGCATGCTAAGTCTCTCTATTTCAGGTGGTGGGTTTTCAATTTTGCCAAATGCTTTTCTTTCGCATATAAATGTCTACCTGCACTCTATTCCATTAAATTGCACACATCGCTTCAGCCAATTTTATTCGATTTCCGTAGCATTTTTGTGTTCGTGGCATTCCGTATACTATACTTTCTGACCTCGTGAACTTATCTTGAATTCGTTTGTAAACAACTTATTTCATATCCTCATTAACTTAAATTTTATGTCACCGTTTTCTTATGCATTAATCGAGTTATTTTTTCTTTCTCTCTCAAGTGAATGGCTGTTGTTTGATATCACCGGTGTGGCTGCGCTTGATGTGCATGTTGACAACGTGACTACCTGTCTATTACCCACTACCTCGTCCATCCTGGCACCAGGAGACAGTTGGTCGTTGCTGGAGGGGACGGGGTGCACGGTCCTTGTGGTCGTGTTAGGCTCGAAGAGTGGTTTCATGCAGTCAGTGTGGAGCGGACTACGGTCCAGCCACCGCCTTGTGTGCTCTTGATTCCCAAATACAGTGTGCTTGTGTTTGCTGTGAAGGAGTGTGGACCGGCTCCGTTGATGAAACGTGGTTCCCATCCACCTGCCTCCCGGTCTTATTCCTTCGGGTTTACACTGGATATGAGGTGTGTGGTAGGAGCTGTGGGTGGTGCAGCGCAATCCACCCATGGTCTCTCTGTAGGCGCAGGCGTTCTGTGGCTTACCACAGTGACAGGCAAATCCGAAACCGGATGCCGCCAACCATATATATATATATATATATATATATATATATATATATATATATATATATATATATATATATATATATATATATATATATATATATATATCTTTGTGTAACCTCTAGGTCCGAAAGACTTCACACTCTCGGAAACGCCGCTCCTTGTTACTGGGACTCATCAGCAGAACACCTATTTGGAACTGTTGGATGAAACGGAGATCTAGTGCTTCCCTGGGATTATGGAGGGCTATACGAGTATGCAGCGACTGCAGAGCACTGTCAAATAACTATATCAGTCACTTGTTCTTGAATATATCTGAAAATTTGCCATAAAAGCATCTGTATGCCATTTCGTACATGGTCGCTGTTGCTTTAAACCGTGGCTCTCAGAACAAGCCCTGGATCCCGAAATGTTTCTAACTTGCACTGAGGCAGAGGGTAAGCTGGGCTATTTCTCAATTCGCCTACAAGTCAAGACGGTTCAAAACCGTCTCCTATGACCTATTGGGATAAACTGCTACTTAGTGGAACAAGTACCCAATGCTCGTGAGTGCGATTCTCGATGAAACTGCAGGAGCACATTATTGAGGTGCACCGATGAGACGAAAGAGCCGACTAGTGCTTGTCTAAGTGTGTGTATAACCAAATGACTCGGAAGCTGCTGCGAATAACCGCGCATTAGTTATATATGCAATCCACTATCCATGAATGCATACATATTTGCGACGAAGAAAAAAGAAATATTGACATGAAACCGCGGCTTTCCATCGGCAAGCTAACTTTTGATTCTATGTCGTGAATAGGAGCCATGGAAGAGTTTGTGTATGTGTGCGTGTCAACATCTATTCTCAATCCACAAATTCGCCAGCTTAACGGTCACCTATTAAGTGAGCTTAAGTCAACCCTTACACACTTAGATTGAACAAGCGGAAATATATATATATATATATATATATATATATATATATATATATATATAAAGTTATTGGCTTCGGTCTTGGAGGTATCCATGAAATTGCAGCTTGGTGACACCTAAACTGAGTCAGAAACATGTAGAAGCAAAGATACACACCCAGACGTGGGCCAATCGTGCACAAAATGGGCATAGTAGGACGAATGCACCTGTGCTAATCATGGGAGTATTTGCACCCGCTGCGAGGCCCAATCTTCATTAACATTATTATGATTATAATTACTGTCATAATATGAAATATCGGTTAACTGTATCGATATATTGGTGCTTAATTTTAGGTAACATTCGAATGCGAACTTACATAAGTCGAACGAAAATCGCAGCGTGCCGTGTTTTTGAAGAAATTGGGCGTATAAAACGACTGTGGGCACTGGTTGATGTCCAATGAGAGCAGCTTGACGGATACAGTTGTTACACCCCTGTTGAGAATGAGAATGCTGCAATGGTAAGTGTTCGGAGGCAGAGGAGATGGAAGCGAAAACCGCATACGGGGGTACTTATCGAGCAAATTCAATACATAAGCAAACGACCTATACCGCATTTCGAACAATGAACAATGATTTCATACGGATAAAGTAGGGTTGTTTACAAGTCCCTTTGAATAGTTAGTGGGGATATCGACATAACAATAATGATGATAATGAGAGTAAAACAGTTAGTACTTTTAATATGAAAATAAGGACTTATCATTTTACTCCACCGTAGTCCTGCAGCTTAGATTCACAGCACACGCAGATAACGTCAACTGATTCTATGGAATGGATAAGTAGTGCTAAGTGACAAAGTATAAGTGAATGAGTGCATCATTTAACCGTCACTTACATACTGTTGTTGTCGTTGCGGAGACGACCGATTTTGGGAGAGCATTCCACGGGTGACAGATAAGAACGGAAAAGAATATTCTGCGGCACTCCAGACGGCTGTACTGTTCTACGAGTTTCATTGAGTGGCCCCTCAGCGTTGTATTAGTGCGAATCGCAGTAAAAGGCGGCAGACATAGTGTGGGTCTCGCAGAATCAAGTATGCTATACTCAGTCATCTAGTAGACTGCGGTAGCTTCCACTGAATATCCCCAATCGTTGCAACCTCACCTGTATGAATACGCATTCTAATTACATTCTTAGATATCCGACGTTGTGGATGCTCCAGTGTATTAAGGCCGTGTTTCATCCATAATATCCAGGCTTGAATTGCGTATTCGACATTGAGGAGAACATATGCACTGAGCATATATCGAAATACGGAGCTGTTGAAGTGTCCAAAGGCACGTTGCAACAGCTCGACATGATAGTCCTTAGTCTTTGAGGCCTTTTCGGATCGCCTGGAGCAACTCAAGTTATCTTGAACCAGGATACGCAAGTCACGTTCGACAGTTGATTATTGCAGCACATTCGTTCCGAGCCCGTATGAGTACTTGCTCTGATGTCTGATGGACAAAAAGCAGCACATTTGGTGCTGACCATTAATATACTGTACCTAGGTCACTCTGAATCAGATGCTGGTCGGCGTTCACATGGATGCTGCACCGTATTTTGCTACCGTCGGCAAACATTAGGAAGTTTGAAGCGATTTCCTGTGCAAGGTCAATAATAAACACGAACAACAAACGTGGACATAGAACTGAGCCTTACGGCATACCACACTCGATTGCATAGTCTGATAAAAAGCTCCTAACTGTGACCACTAATTGCCGTTGACGTGGAAAGTGGGTGATCCAGCTTAAAAGAGGGTCGCCGATCCCGTAATGCTGGAGCTTGGAGAGTAATATCCGATGGTCTAGACGATTGAAAGTCTTCGAAAAATCCAGATAGATCACATCAACGCCCTCTCCAGCGTCAGCTGACTCGGTCCAACTTCTGTGTACGATTAGTACATTCGTTGCGCGTGACCGCTGTCCACGGAAACTGTGCTGCTCAGGCGTGATGATGTTACGGTTTTCCAGATAGCACACGAGTGCATTGGCAGCTATGGATTCCATGAACTTGGAGAGCATAGGAAGAGGGGATACTGGACTGTAGTTGAAGGGATCAGTTCTGCTTCCACCTTTCGAATCAGGATTATCATTCCGAGCTTCCACATAGCGGTCACTTGATTCTAGTCTATGCAGCGTTGGAACTACTGAGCTAAACGTCCTGCCATTTGACCAGCTACTGCTTCCAGTGCCTCTGGACGGATGGTATCGATACCCGGCGTGCTGTGTTTGCGCAGAGACCTCAGCTTTTGCAATGTAGCCTCCGCAGTAAAAGTGGTGTGGGTTAGGCCTGGCGAGGAGACGACGTAGGTTGGAAGATTGCCTGGTGGCAAGACCCTCGGAAAAGTGGGGGCATATTGCACCCGCAGCGCGTTCGCTGCTTCCACATCCGTTCTTGTTGGGCCATCCGCCGTCCTGAATAGATGAAATCCTTGCCTTAACTTACGTAGGCTGTTGACGTGCATGTATAGCAGTTTGTGGTTAGCACTGAATATTTTTGATATGTTCTGCTGATAGGCAGCTTTGTCTTCTCTGAGCAGTTGGGTGCAGTAGTTAGGCTCGTCTATCTAGTTGTCCCAAGTTGCTGGTGCTGGAGCTTCTCCGTGCACTCGCCATGCTGCGTTGCGTACTGTCATCCATTTTCGAGTTCTGCTCCTAACGAAGGAAACTGATCTACACTTATTGCAAACTCTTATCTCTGAAGCTTCTGCAATCAGCTGGCTGAATTTGTTGAGGAACTCAAGCCAGGCGGTTTCCGGAGGCTCTTCGGCTAGGAACGATCAAGTTGTATTGCTGACGAGCTGAGCTAATCGATCGTGGCTTGTGATAGTTCGCACAGTCTCATAATTCTCACTCCGATATTCCGCATAGCAGAGGTAGTTGATACTGATGACTGCCTGATCACTGCGACACAGCGGGCAGTCTACAACCAACAAATCAACCATATGCTCCTCGTTGGTAAGCACAATATCCAGCACAGATGGGGTGTTACCTCTTCTGAACTGAGGGGGTTATGTGATGTGATTGTAAAGAGGAACAGTGGTTACGAACTCCTGTAGATCAGCTTTGAAATTTTCTCAGATCGTGACAGGAGTTTCTGCACAATGTACGCTGAAATCAACCATGATAAGTGTGTGAGTGTACTTTCTCTGTAAACTGCATCTTAAAGCAGCCGAAAGGTGGCAGTCGGTTTCGGGTGTAGAGTTAGGGGGTGGTGGTACACCAAGACAATAAGGCAAGCGGCTCTGCCTTTTAACTGCACATGGCATCAAAGAGACTCGGGGAACTGCAAACCTGAATCCTTCACATCTTCGCATAGTAAGTCGCTTCGATGAAAGAGTATTACCCTCATATCCTTTTGTGAGCCTATCGTTCCGGATCAGCGACATGCCCGGTAGCGCAACTTCAGCGTCCGTCATCCCCCTGTACAGCCACCTCTCGGTGATACCAAGGACATCATAAGACTTGGAAGCGTGGAAATCTTTCAGTTCGGCCAGTTTATTAAAAAGACCCAGTGCATTCGTATACAAGCAGGCCAGTTTCTCGGTCTATACGAACCCACAGAGAGCTAAAGGGGTCAAGTGTGGGAGAATGCCGCCGGATGGGAGGTCAGCAATTATTTGTTTTATTTGTTTGGATAGTGATACCTCTTCGGAAAGGTGATTCGGCCAAGGTGCATCCAAATGTTCTTTTAGACCAGGTCAGAGTCAATTAAAGCATCAGTAAACTTAGGCTTCTTCACATTCGTCGGTATGCTTGCTGCGTCTGGTGCTTTAATATTTGAGCCGTGTAAGACTTCTGCGACCTTTAACCGAAGTTCAGAAGGAAGATGTTTCCGAAATCTCCGCTATCGATCCAAAACATCCGTTGTTTGTTGATCTGACTGAACCGAAATTTTTAGGATTATAAGGTTGCATCTTCTATAATTTGATGAGAAGGGTATCATGGTGGGCGAGAGCGCCACAACATTATTCAAAGGAAAAGTGTTAAACGAATGAACCGCCACTGTTCTAAATCGTGCTTTCCGATCTCTTGAACAGCTTTAGAAGGATGTGCTGGTTCGCCATATATAAGATTGTTTTTAGCTGATTTTGCTTTCTGTGTCCCTCCTCGTTGTTTCTTTTTGAGTGTCGCACGCTCCAAGGGACATCAGGATAGTCCTTATTCAACAGGATCCGTATTTTAGCGCGCCTGCGGAGAGCAAAATGTTTGCTACGTCAGTGGAGAATTCCAGTTTTACTCGAATAAGTCTGGGTTCTCCATAGTGTGGCGTGTTCGGATGACGAGTAATTCGTAATAGGTTTACGGGCTTGGCTTTTACACTCAACAGCATGCACAATGAGTTCCATTGATCTTGGTCGTCTGATAATTTACCCCGCAATGTGATGGCGGTAGATTCAGGGACATTTGAGCATACAACAGTCCGCGCACTATTGTTGGATCCCTTTTTCCTTGATCTGCTAGGTAGCGTAATCGTTTGTCCCTACCTGCTGACAAGTGTTGATTGTTTACCGTTTGCCCCTTTATTCGCGTTAAGGGTGTTCACAACAGAAGTGCCCGCAACGGCGGCCTCCCGGCGGACCTTTGCAGCAATCTCTGCATATGTAACTGATTTTCCGGGATGGGTGAGCTTTGTCTCGACAAGAGACATTTGAGCTACAGGTACCGAGGGTTGGTGTTCGATAGCTTCATCCTAGTTAGTGATAGATGTCTGGTCAAGTGGAATTCGTTTTACCAGACTTTCCGCTTAGTGCCTGATTTTCGTTGTCATAAGTACTGTTTGACTCTCGTAGGTACGGTCAGTTTTCGCCTGGCGTTCTACCAAAGTTGGAGAAGGCAACGAAGCTGGACACGTGGTGGTTCAAGGGAGTCAGATTGTGCAGCATTCCGTTGCTTAGAAGCCGCTACGCTTCCTTGGCGCATCCTCGCTTCCATTGAAGTAATCTTATCGTTTATCGCCTGCTCCGCTTCTGCGGTTAATCCGTCGCACTTCTGAACTAGGACAAGCAAGCACTTAACAAGTGGGATGGTTGAGCACGCAGTACAGTAGCAAAGCGCATCTTGGCAGCTATTTCGCTCTCGTACCTGTTGTTGGGACACATTTGCACATTTCGGATCATACCATTCCAAACAGTGCGAGCAAGCCAGACCGATTTTAACCACTTGATGACATTCTCCTAACCCGCAATTGCATTTTACTTGGAGCCATTTCGGAATCGCATTTCTGCCATTCACCATGGCGTCGTTACCCGACCAAGTGGGTTGGTTGGCGTTCTGTACTATTCCAGCTATGAGAGCTGCACACGTATGTCAGGCCAGCATGGTGGTTGGAAAGTCAAATGAGCGGTCGGTGTGGTCGCGCGATCCGTGTGATGGGTTATGCAGGCGCACTGGCTGACAAGGTCACAAGGAATGACGAGTGACTGGAACCTGCTAACTGAATCTGAA